CCTGGTGGCAGCGAGCGGAACCCTGCCACCAGGCGGCGCTGCCCTCCAGCTCTATGAACGACCTCAGTTTTCTGCGCAGGGAAACGCCTCGCACGTCGGCATCACTAGCGCCACCACGGGCGTGCAATCCGGCGTCGCCGTGGCAACGACGACGACGACGACGATGAGAGGATGTGAGAGGTGATAGTATCTATCGAGGTCCGGCACGATCGCTGTCTCACGTCGGCGCCATCGCGGCGGCGGTGCGCGGGCCGCCGCCGAGCAACGCCGCGGCGGGTGGTATGCGAGCAGGTGTGTGGGCGATCACGCACGCACGCACGCACTCACGCACGCACGCACGCACGCACTCACGCACGCACTCACGCACACACGCACGCACTCACTCACGCACGCACGCACGCACGCACTCACTCACGCACGCACTCACTCACTCACGCAGTACCGCTACTCGCTGCATCCGCCGCCGATGCTACGCGAGCGAAAGGGGAGGGCGGGGGAGGAAAGAGAGAGGGGTCCATAGCTCCACGGTGGGGGGACGGGGGCATACCTTTATGATGGAAGGCATATATCCACGGCGGGGGTGGGGGGGACGTACATCCGCGAGGGGGCCGTAAATTCACGGCGTAACTCGTTACCCCCGTACCTCAGCCTCCCTCGCAGCGATCCGACGCCGCTTCGCGCCGACTTAACGACGTTTAACGACGTCCGCAATCGAAGAACGATTCGAAATTGATCGTCGTCGCGGCAACGGCTGCCGTCGGCGCGCGTGCGGTCGGCTTTTGTACGCGCTCAACCGGCCGTAACCGTGGCGACACGGCCCATCTGTCTCCGCGGTGACGTGCTCGCGCCGCATCTCCGCTGCTACCGCTCCTCTGTTGTCTCGTTGTCATCGGCAACCTGTCGTCAGCATCGTTTGTGGTCATCCCTGTAGGGGGCGCTGGGGTGCGGGTGCGAGAGATGGTGATTTGTCCATTGTTGTTTTTTGGCAGGAGTCTTATGTCAGTAGATGATGGAGAGGCTGTGCGGATGAGGAGGCTGTGCAGATGAGGATGCAGAGGAAGGCTTCAGATTTCCTCAGCTTTCTTTCTTCTTCGTGTGACTTGTACCACGTAGCCAGCTGCAAGTAGTGGTGAAACCTACTGGGTTGAGTTAAAACTATAGTTGGCTAAGGCTCAGGTGGCCTTACTACATGTACGCAAATTTATGTCTATAGATTTAATTCATAAAGTATATAATGTATATGTAAGTAAGTAATACTTTATATAATAAAACTATAGAAATATAATATAGAATATATAAATCATACATATATATAAAGTTGAATAAGTTATTCTGTTTTTAATTTCAAATCTTGAAAGTTTAGCGGTAAGTGGATGGAGATGCTGCGCCACCTGGTGTCTGGGACCTTAAAATGACTCGCTCGTCTCTATGTCTCTGTTGTCTGTTCCTCTACTCTTCTACTGCCCTGTCCTCTCTACTTTCTACTCCTCTACTTAATGCTATCTAGTCTTTCCATGTCTTTCCCTCCTCTCTCTCTTTCTCTCTCTCTCTCTCTCTCCCTCCCTCCCCTCTCATTCTCACCTCTCTCTCTCTCTCACTCTCTCCTTGCTCTCTCTCTCTCTTCTTTCTCTCTCTCTCTCTCTCTCC